AACAAACGTCTACAAAAACCACAGGCAATTTGTTTTTGTTCGAAATACTAACTTGTCAAAATTTGTTTACAAAAATGAACCAATAATTAATGGAAAATATGGCATTATTGTTGTACTTTCCAAAAATATGTTGTTATTTATATTAAAAGTCACAGAGTTTTCTTTATTTTTTAAAAATTAGAACATTTTTAAAAATATTATACACTTAAAATACACTTTTTCACATTAAATACAACAAATTACTCAGAAATTTGTACAAAAGCAAGCGTTAAAATGAAAACACATATGGCAACATAAACATTTTTGACAAGTAAGTCCACAAATAGCAAGTTTAAAAAAAATAGTCAGCTGTTCAAATGAGTCTACTTTATAAATTTACTTTGGCAGTATCAATCCAAAGTAAAGCGAACAATTGAGATAAAAAGGAGATTGCAAACAATACCGGGAAACATTGTAAAGTAATGAGTTAAAATGCTAATAAAACCTCTTTTCACTACTTCATCATTAGCATTTTAAGTCATTATTTTCACACGGTGATGTCATTGGAGGCAAGTACTTCCACGCTCGCTTACAAATAGGCAGTTAAAGAAGTACTTGCAATTTCTCTTGCAAAGAAGTTGTTAAGTATGTTGTTTTATTTTGTAATTATAAAAAAACTGTCTAGCTGGCAGTTCGACTCACTGCACCACAGCTTATCTATTTTATTGCATGTCAAATAATGATTTTCACGTACAAATCTAATTTTGTTTTCTTTTTTTGTGAAACAGTATTCTTAACACTCAATTAAATAAAATGTGCAAACAAAATGACAAGGCTGAAAATAAAGCACTTCTATATCAGATTATATGAAAGTCATTACTAGAGTACTTCTAAGTAATGCAAACGTTAAGTAGTAGTCATTGAAAAGTAAGTGGTTATGGAAGTACAACCCATTGTCCAGTTTTTGCTGGGATGTTTAAGGAACCGTTAGCGGTTTACTCATTAGGATAAATGTCACTTTCTAATCATGGTGTAAAATTGGATGAGTAGACATTGATCATATTTAAAAGTAGTATTAACCCACAAACGAATTGAATTATTCAACAAGTTAGAGTGCCATATTTGGCTTTGCCGAATCTTAAATACCCTCCACCTTAAACTGGTTTCATAAATTATCAAATTTTATGGATTAATTCAAATTTACCTTAATATTTTAGACTTACTTTCATTACGCCTTACAATATGCAATTAAAAACAAATCCACTTAACATACTGTTACAGAGCGTACTAAATTTAACCTATGTTCTGTATTTAAAATAATTTCTATGTGTGAGAAAAATGTATGGCAATAGTTATAGTTATAAAACTTGTATAATTTTGTACGGAAGGTACAATAGATTTTCAACGTTGTTGATCCTATGAAAAACTGGTTGGAGTGCTATATTCGTCTGAACCGAATCTTAAATACCCTCCACCAGCTACTTTTATATTAATATTTTTTTTAATTGATCAAATATTTGTAGAAATTAGTTTTCTCATGTCTTAAATAGAAAAACACCAAGATTTAAACAGATTAAATCTGTTACAATTGCAAGATTTATTGAACATTACAATCGCCATTTTCTTTTATATTTATAAAGCGCCCTATGCTTTAGCGATATTTAATAATTTGTGTGAAAGATTTAAGGAAATTCAAATTTTCGGGGCAGGACCTTGTATGGGAGATAAGACCTTTAAGTAACATTTCTGTATATAAAAGCTATATTTCAGTCAAGTTTTGTATCTATATCGTAATTTAGTAATAAGTAATGTGCGTTTAAGTGATTTTCGGAAGGGAACCTTGTATGGGACCGATCGCACACATATTATGTACCGATCGTGAAAAAAATCTTAAAATATAATTTTTGTATACAAAACTAATATTTGTACAAAATTTTGTATCAATTGCTTTATTTGGTAATGAGTAATGTGTCTTTAAGAGATTTTCGTAAGAGGACCTTGTATGGGAGCTATGACCAATTATGTAACATTAATGTATATATAGACAAAATTTTGGCTAAATTCTGTATCTCTATCATTATTTGGTAATGAATACATGAATGCATTAAGTGATTTTCTTGTATGGGAGCTATGACCAAATATGGACCGATCGTGAAAAAATTTTATTTTTTATGGATATCACTATTTGGTAATGAGTTGTGTGCCTTTAAGTGTTTTTCTGAAGGGGAGCTTGTATGGGAACTATAACCAATTATGGACCAATCGGAAAAAAATTTCACAATAACATTTTTGTATATAAGAGCAATAGTAGTACCAAATTCTATATTAATATCTTAATTAAGTAATGAGTTATGTGCGTTTAAGTGATTTTCGGGAGGGGACCTTGTATGGGAGCTATGACCAATTATGGACCGATCTACAAAACTTTTTCTCTATATGAATTCTATTGATATAAAATTTTAATTTGAAAAATTTTGTTAAGATATCAACATTCTGGTATAAGAAATTGTGGACTGATTCCGGCAATTTTCAACAGGAATAAAGCTCTTGTGTAAAAACATGGAATTATATTGCATAGCTTTAGTGAAAATTACATCAGAATGTGTAAAAAATGCTTATTTTTTTTCAGAGTTGTTTTAAATTTTGATTCATAACTTTTCCCGATATAAACCGATTTTGCTCATTTTCAATACCAGACGGACAGACGGACATATAATTTCATAAGGACCAAGAATATATATACTTTGTTGGGTCTCAGATGAATATTTCTTGGAGTTACACACGGAATGACAAAGTTATATGTATATACCCTCTATCACCACTCATGGTGGTGTAGGGTATAAAAAACGTAGAGAAAATAAATACATTTTATTTTTGATTTCCAACGCCAACGTTAGAAATCAATAATGTCTAATAGTCTAATTAAGAAAAATTTTAATTTTCGAAAAAATCGGTGCAAGGACACGCCCACCTCTCATATAACCTAAAACGTAAAAATGCCTTTGCATTAAATTTTTTATCAGAATGCATTCAAAATTGGAGTGTGTGTCTGGTAGTATTTTTAATCAAAATCCTGAATTTCTAAAAAATCGGCCCAAGGACATGCCCATTTCCCATATATCCTAAAGGAGGTATTAGACGACATGTATTTTACATATGTACCGTCACTTTTTTTATCCATATGTAATTCCGAATGTATGTCAAAATTGTTATTTTACATACGATTCATAAATTTTGCTATCTCACCTGCCTGTGTTTTTCCGTATGACATAACCTATAATGTAATCAAAGCTGTCTTTTTAATGTGTAAAAATTGTTAAAATTATAAATTAATTTATTAAAAATGAAAAAAATACTTTTTCATGTTCTTTATTCAATTTCTTTAATTTACTTTTTTCAAAAAATGTTATTTAAGCAAAGCAGCAGTTTTGTTTAGGTTTGTCATACGAAAATAGAGCACGCTCTAATCGAAAAAATTACATATGTATTTCTACATGTATTTTACATATGCAATGTTTCATATGTATCAGACGATATGTACAACTTTTACAGATGGAAATTTTGACAGTACATATGTAAAATACATGTTGTCTAATACATATACCGGCGTATAGAGAGGCATATTAAAAAAATCACCACTACACACACACTATTGGCATTTTTTCAATGAAATTGCACTGAAAAAACTATTTTTTAATTTTGAAGATTAAATTGTATTACTGTAAAATGTGAATATTTATAAACAAAATGTAATCAATGTACATAAGAATGATAATTTCTTCACATAGAAACAACATTTCAAATAAAAAAAAATATGAAACAAGATGAACTTATTTACTTTAATTGTTATGTATTCTGGAAAATTTAGGTGTACGTTGTTTTTGTAAATTATACTCTTGCTTTTGCAAGTTGTTTTTGTTTTTCAAGTTGTATTTGCAATTTCTTTAACAAAGCGACATCAACCTGCTTTGTTGAATGATGTCAAGCAACTAAATAAAATATTTGTTTAGAAGTTCGTATGCGATCGTGTTGTGTACATGTAATTTGCCGAAAATCTTCGTTGTCAGAACAATACTAGCGCCGACGTTTGGTCTAATACCACCTTAAAGCTTAAATACGACGTTAAAACTGCAGTTTTCTTCCAAATATATTCAAAATTAGACTATGTATAAGTATTTGATAAGATAGTAAATAAAACTTCAGGATTAAAAAAATCGGTACTAGGACACGCCCACCTCCCATATAATATAAAGCGTAAAAACGTCGTTGTGCATAAATTTTTGAGGACTGATCGTAGAACTATGAAATTCGGTATGTAAGTGTCTGTTAGTTCAAATAAGAAACATTTGAAGTACACTAATACCCCGGTTTGCGTCGCCTCGTTCTGCGTCTGCTTTGAAGTTGCGTCTTTTTAAAATTTCTGTGATTTCGAAGTTGCGTCGTTTTTGTTTCAGTTTGCGTCACATGTTTTGAAGTTGCGTCGTTAGTGCTTCGATTTGCGTCGTTAATACGAAAATGTTTGTACAAAGCTAAAACTGAAAAAGGGAATTTCCCGTTTAAATCTAGTGCAAATTCGAAATTGTGTCCTTTTAAAATTTCTGTGACTTCGAAGTTGCGTCGTTTATGTTTCAGTTTGAGTCGTTAATATGAAAATGTTTGTACAAAGCTCAAACAGAAAAAGGGGATTTCCCGTTTAAGTCTAATGTTAATACATACATAGATATGTATTTATGTTGTCTGATGGTAGCAAGTTGTAGGTCGTTAGTAGTTACAAATTACATTTGCTGAAGTGAAGTTGATCTAAATATTTTGCAGCAATGAGTCAAAAAAGAAAGCAATTATGCTTAGAACAAAAGCTTGACATTTTAAAACGTTTTAAATCAGGAGAATGGGCTGTTGATATTGGAAGAAACCTTGGACTAGCCCCTTCTACAATAAAATCCATTTGTTCCAGAGACGCTGATAAAATTAAAAAATTTGCTGAAACCGCATCATCGTTACAACATAAACAGGTTACCAAAATGAGAAGTTCTTTAATGGAAAAAATGGAGTCACTTCTTAACATTTGGATAGAAGATCAAAATCAGCGAAGAATGTCATTAAGTCAAATGGTAATTCAAAAGAAAGCACTAACTTTATTTGAAGATCTGAAAGAAGATTATCCATTATCAAGTGCCGAAAGTGCGGAAGAATTTAATGCAAGCAGAGGTTGGTTTGACCGTTATAAAATCCGTGGAAATTTGCATAGCATTGCATAAAAAGGAGAATCTGCTAGTGCTGATACTTCAGCTGCAGAAAAGTTCAAACTTGAATTAAAAGCAATTATTGAAGAAGGTGGGTATTCTGCACAACAAGTTTTAAACGCTGATGAAACGAGACTTTTTTGGAAACGTTTGCCAGGAAGAACGTACATTTCTAAATCCGAAAAATCTTCGCCAGGTTATAAATCTAGCAAAGATAGACTTACACTTCTTTTGGGAGGAAATGCAGCGGGAGATTTTAAATTTAAGCCATTTTTAATTTACCACTCTGAAAACCCGAGAGCTTTTAAAAATGTTAAAAAGAGCGAGCTTTCTGTTCATTGGCGTGCAAATAAAAAAGCATGGATGACTGCATCCTTATTTAGAGATTGGATGAACAATTGTGCTGCTCCCGAGCTAAAGGCTTATTGTTCTTCAAAAAATATTGAGTTTAAAATGCTCTTGTTAGTTGACAATGCACCAGGTCATCCTGTTTTTTAAGAAGATTATTCGGAAAATATTAATGTTATTTTTATGCCCCCAAATACAATATCTGTGATACAACCAATGGATCAAGGTGTTATATATAACTTCAAGTCATACTATCTGCGTCGAACATTTCATCAACTTCTAAAAGCAACTGACGGAGATAACATGCCATCCATGAAAGAGTTTTGGAAGAATTACAATATCCTGATGGCTATTGAAAATATAAACCTATCTTGGAAAGAAGTAAAAGAATCGTGCATGAACGGAACTTGGCGTCAATTATGGCCCGAATGTGTTCTCAAAGATATGGAAGATATTAATGATGTTCCACACACATGTAAAGAACTTGCAGAATCAGCTAGAAATGCAAATTTTTTGGAATGGAAGAACAAGATATTAATGATCTCCTATTATACGACCCAGAGTTAAATTGTAACCAAAGTTTGACTGCAAACCGGGGTATTAGTGTATCATAAAAAATCGATGCAAAGACACGCCCACCTCTCATATAACCTTAAACGTAAAAACGCCATTGTTTGTTAGCATATTTAACAAAAATGCAGAATCTGGAAAAAGTCGAACCAAAGACACGACCACCTCTCTTATAACCTAAGGCTTAAAAACGACATTGTTACTACATTTTTCATCAGAATATATCCAAAATTAGATTATAAGTGTTTGATAAGATAATTGTCAAAAATGTTGCACATCAAAAAAATCGGTTCAATGACACGCCCACCACCCATATAAACTTAAGCATAAAAACGTTATAGATAACAACATTTTTGATCAGAATGAATTTAAAATTTACATATGTTATAATAATTGTCCTTGAAAACTTTATGCCTAATTTGGTTCAATCGCTCCAAGGTTTTATTAGGCTGCCATATTTCCTTTTATTAAAAATAGTTTTAAAAAGTTCAAATACTAACAGATTGTTATATACATAACTGTAAGTATTAGTTTTCTCAATTATTTTTATTGAAATATGTCTTAAATATAAAGTTAAACAAGTTAGAGTGCTATATTTGGCTTTGCCGAATCTTAAATACCCTCCACCTTAAACTGGTTTCATAAATTATCAAATTTTATGGATTAATTCAAATTTACCTTAATATTTTAGACTTACTTTCATTACGCCTTACAATAAGCAATTAAAAACAAAACCACTTAACAGAATAATTTCTATGTGTGAGAAAAATGTATGGCAATCGCCCCCCTACACAACCCGTACAATAACGACGGGAGGTACAAGAGTACCAGAATTGAAGTCATGCATTTGGACATGACCTCCCCCTTGGTTTATGCGGAAACTATCTGAACTCCTACCGATCTATGGGTCACGGCACCCGGTTGCAATGCAACTCCACACCGAGCATACGCTCTTCCCGCGATTTCGGTCTAAACCACAGCCACCACGATACTCCGTAAATGGCCGCACCATCATCCAGGCTGAAAAACCAGTTTCATGGGCTTCCTGGATCCCGTGGTACCAGATTTTAAGTCTCCGGTCGGACTTCGTAGTTTAAAATAAACTACTACCAGTTGGCCTCCAAATAGGACCTGAGTGGTGGCTAGCAGCAACACAAAACATACAACAAAAGGTACACAAGACGTACAAACATTGAACGGCCGCCCTCACGATTGACACTTGGTGCCATATTCTCAACACCGGCAGGACAGTACGCACAAAACACTAAACAGAGCACCCTCACGGATACCCAAGATATCCGAAAAACGAAGGCAACGTGGCGGACGTCCTAAAAACAAACAAAAACAACAAAAAGTCGGACAGGTAGAGAAAACCAAATAATGTAGCAAATAAACGAAGCTGAGGAAGGGAAGCAGCTCACAAAGAACGACGAAAACAACTATCCAACGGTCATATACCTATGTGCAAACTAGGCCAAGCCAGCGTGCCGAGAATGCACGACACCTGGCAAGGAACACTACCAACGGCTAACCGCATTAGGGATTGCCTCCACTAACGTCAGTCCTCCTCCTGTTGAATACCTGCCTAGCATATTCTCCCAACCTAGCAACTGTCCTATCGTCCTCTAAAGCTCTACTGTACTCCCAATTTTCTCCGGTCCGAGTAATATTCATACTCGCTAAATCCCTAATGTCACTGTACAGGGGACTCGCTGTAAGAACGTGCCCCACGTCTTCTATTCCTATCCCGCACCTACAGATCGGACAGACCTCTCTTATGCAAAAATGCATTAAGAGAGCCATTTCCCGTCAGTATGAAACCCAAACTTAAGCCGAAGCTAAAGGATGGGTGTTCCTGTACGAACGTCACGTCACGTATGAAACCATACGTTACCCGCACCTTGTCACTATTGGTCCATCTTGTCCGCCACCTAGAGATCAGACACTCCCAAAGCAGTGCCTTGATATCTCTAGGTCCTCCAACCACGTCGGAAGCAGAAAGCCAGCAGCATCATCACCGTCTTATCCATAGACACCTCCACACCAACACTACTACCCCACGCATTAACGTGACGCATAACATCCCCACCAATGGTTTCTATAACAGCACGAGACTGTCCTTCCACCATGATGAGGAGGTCATCCGCATACGCACACAGCTTAAAAGACCGTACAAGATCACCCAGCAAAGGATCCATCATGAGGTTCCATATAAATGGACCACAAATGGATCCCTGAGGGCAACAACGCACAACATCTTTCCAAACTGTGCCGCTGGCACTAGCAATACAAGCTTTCCGACCGCTGAAGTAACTATCTATCGCTGAAGAGCTATCTCTTGGCAGTTCAGATCACGAAGCCTACGCAAGATTGCACTCCAGAAGAGATAATCAAACGCACCCTTAAAATCCACAAATATGCCCAAGACATATTTGGCCGTAGAGTTACTCACCGTACTGCGAACATGTTGCCAAGCATCCTCAACACTCATGCCCTCCTTAAAGCCAATCTGAAACTCAGAAGATGACGGCCTGGCGATCTCCTTTAGTCGAAACACCATCATCCTTTCAAGCACTTTTCCAAGTACTGGAAGGAGACTGATGCCCCGATAAGAGCGAGGATTACTCCTCACCCTATCAGGAGACTTTAGGAGGACCACAACCCGAGCAATCTTCCAAGCTTCAGGAAAACAGCTCTCGCTGAAACACTTCCCAAAGATTGACTCCAGATATTCTGGCACGGCCTTCCAGATGCCTTTACACATCTCTCCAGTCATGCCATCAATACCTGGCGATTTTCTGCTTTTAACGCGGCAGGCACTGTCATATATCTCAAAACTTTCTAAGATCGGAGGGCCATCCACCTCCCCAGGGGGAAGTGGAACAGCATTCTCCTCACGAGGAAAGAAAACATCCAACAGAAGGCTGAACCTAGTCTTACGACGTCGGCCCAGCAAAGTGTCATTAGTGTGACACATCCACTGATCTATCTTACCGACCTGGTCATCTATCGTCAGTATCCTAAAGTTATCAATAGGCACCTCTGAGGCCACCGACCGAAAATATCCTGCGTACGAGTACCAGTCAATATCCCTATTCCTCCAGGTTCGAGTCTGGTCTGTTCTAACAGTTCGTTCTCTGCAAGTGACCGTAAACTCAATGAGCCTATGGTCACTTACACTCCAGTCATTACACACCCTCCACCTAAAGTCAAATGCTGTCATAGCTGCACCATTGGCAGCTGTAACGTCTATGTCACTGGTACCCATAGGACCGTCAAAAGTGTACAGGTCACTCTGCTCATTCACCACCATGACGCACTTGGTAACCAGCAATTCGCTAAGCATAACTCCTCGTATATAGTTCTGATGACCAGGGGCTAACCTGTCCATCTTACTGAACCACATACGAGGGCATGTGTCTAAGCTTAGGACCGATCTACAAAATTTTTTCTCTATATGATTTCTATTGATATAAAATTTTAATTTGTAAAATTTTGTTAAGATATCTACATTCTGAGAGAAGTTATTAACAATAAACTCATTTTCCGGGAAAATGTACTTTCGTATGGGAGGTATAAGAAATTGTGGACCGATTCCGGCTACCTTCAATAGGAATAAAGCTCTCGTGTAAAAACAAATGTATGATGATTTTCATGGAATTATATTGCATAGTTTTCGTGAAAATTACATCAGAATGTGTAAAAATGCTTATTTTTTCGGAGTTGTTTTAAATTTTGATTCATAACTTTTCCCGATATAGATCGATTTTTTTCATTTTCAATACCAAACTACCTAGGACAATAGGAAATATTCTGGACAAATTTCAATAATTTATTTCACTTTGTTTTTACGTGACCGTATTTTACACAGACAGACGGACATAGATAAATCGACTCAGAATTTCATAAGGAGCAAGAATATATATACTTTGTTGGGTCTCAGATGAATATTTCTTGGTGTTACACACGGAATGACATAGAGGGAATATATAACCCTCTATTACCACTGATAGTGGTGGAGGGTATAACAATTCAGAGTGCTATATTAGGCTGTGCCGAATCTTAAATACTCTCCACCTGTAAGCTACTTTCTATAAAGACCCTTATAAATATTACTAGATACGTATTTAATAAATTGTGAAAGTTTAAATTGTGCTTCCGTGATGAAAATGGGGGCTCCACGGCCCCCATATGAAAGTCCGCTCGTTTTCCCCCAAAATGTTCGGTTGAATATTAAAGTAATTTATGCAAAATTTGAAGAATCTAGTTCTATTAGTTTCCCAGATAAATGAATTTTTGTATTTAATTAATATGGGAAATGCCAAGTCCACCATTTAAAGTCCGCCAATTATTCCCTAAATGTTCACATTAATGTCAAAGTACTTCATGTAATATTTAAAGATTCTACATCTAATAGTTTCTCAAATATAAGAATTTTTCTATTAAATTCATGTGGGGGTTTCAAGCCCCCAAGATAAAAGCCCGCCCTTTTTTCTCCAAAATGTTTGGATGAATATTAAAGTAATTTGTGCAAAATTTGAAGAATCTAGTTCTATAAGTTTCCCAGATAAACGAAATTT